AAATCTATTAATAATAAGACCTATAATAACTATAAATTATATTAATTGCGAAGCGGGTAATGCATTCAAATCCCCGTATTTACTACATTTAAGTTATGTAAATTAGGCTATTCCTGGGTTAAGTTGGATAATCTAATTATACTGTATCAGCAGTGGTAAGGTTTGAACGCTGAATTAAAAACGAATTAGATTTATACTACGGTTAAGTTCGAGTCAGATTAGCCATTTTCCATTAATGAGCGTGAACGTTCAATTTGAATACTCCTGGGGTCGCGACTCATGCTTATTTGAAAACCAAGTGAATGGATCTCTGATATTAGATCTTTAGCGGGGAAAGAAGGTAATGCAAAAAACTAATTTGTATTTTATTGCATTTCAAGCTTTTATAAAGGCAAGTTAATTACAGTGTATAAAAAGACAGACCATAAACATACCAATTGCATGAATGTCTTAAAGCTTAGCGATTGTGAGCAAATCTTTTCCGCTTTACTGTACCTAAATTACTCGAGCATAATTTGTATGAGGATTTTTGTTTACTTTACTTGTTAAGTGCAATGCATTTCATAATTTTATCCCGTAGCCTCCACTTTGTATCCTCTAAATGTACAATAAAAAAATCTGGAAAAGAAAGACATCTTACAATTTATAGGTTCAACTATTACTAAAATTGAACTTTGCGGGTGCGCGGGCGTTGGTTAATTTAGTTAATGCACTTGTCATTCAGATATAGAGTGTTTCTGATTAAACTTTGTGTTAGAACTGATGCCATGTAATCTTGATACAGGCGCTGGCGTTCATGTTTTCCTACGTGGTGGTGATAATCCAGTTCCGTGACGCTGAAACTTCCGCTGGGCCTACAACGCTTCCTACCAACGCCGGCATCGTTCATACCAACGCCAGCATCGTTCCTGCTAACGATACCGTCACTCCTACCGTCTATGTCACATAAGTCACCACTCATATTATTAATATTAATATATTAATTNAATCAGAATTAAGATTTGCAGAGGTCGGTTGCTACATAGAAAGAAGATTTTTCGATCGCGCTAGAAAATTATGGCTTATCTTTGTTATAAAAATAGATCGTTTTTTTCGACAGCCGGCGACGTCAGAGCTGGGGCAAAATTAGTAGCATTGGCGGTAAATAATCAACGATTCTTCGCCGAAACTGACACCAAGCACTCAGGATCTTTCTATAAATTTTCTAGTAAAATTGAAGTTACTTTACCACGATTCAGTACAGGTAACCATCATTCTTACGGATGAAGAGTTCGTTTATGACTTGATGCAAGAAAAAGCGTGCTGTGGAACCATAAGTAATTAGTACAGAGCGACTACAAGTAAATGCTTCCACGTCAAATAATAAGAAGAAACTTTTCGGTATGGCTTATTATATTATATATAATAATAGGACAGTCCAATGCTTTGTCTCATCAGCGTACGAAATATAAAATTTAGGCGTCTCGGCTTACGTTAGATATAAATTCGTTCTAAAATGAAAAATCGCAGATGTTGCAACACGTTGTCTCTCGTGCCTGGAAACGGACTCGAGAATTATATAATAATATAATATAATATAGCGGTTCAGCGTTTATTAGGCCGTAGGCCTGTCGCCGATTCTTAACATCTCAGAACATTGACAGCATTTTGCGATCTCGAACCTGTGTAAGGATTTTACACAGTCGAGTTTTGAATTTTAAAAGTTTATTTAATCAATGAAAACAGAACAAGGAACTTTGGGAGGAAGCAGCAATTCGGTATATATGTAGAGAAAGCAAATTTAAATAAATTCTACGGTATGATGTCGAAAAGCTAAAAAAGATTTAAGTTCACTTTTTATACAAGAAGCTTCCATGAGACAGAACGAATAGCATTTCATACATTCGTAGAAATAAGTATGTTGATGATTTCAATGTCTTGCATTATATTCTGTCATTGTAACAGTCACTAGAACATTATGTAAAGTAAACTAAAGATTACATGAATGTCTCAGTCTTTCTTTCAGCTGTACTGCTAAATGAGGTCGAGTTAATGTTTTCTGAAGTATCGGCAAATCGGCGAGTATTGAACCTGTCAGTAGGTAAATGAATAGAAATAAAAATGAGTTTTAAGTTTGTAATTCTTTAACTTTAAGCAGACTATTGCTACACATTTTCCAGTTGGATTACTAGTGTTAACAATCAGCAGATCTTATACCCATGTATTCAATTTTTTATTCACGTCCCGTGTCTAATATTTAACATGGTTTTAGAGCTTTTCATTATATATTTGTCATTGCAGCCATGAAGCATGGCTACATCATGCATCTCTATGCTTTCAGTGCTTGCAATTTGAAGCAAATCATGAAGAATCATCATAATAATTTTGTTATATACTCGTAGTTTTTGTAGTTAAATTAGTCAGGTAGTTGTATTTCAAACTTTGCGTAGTTTAATTGAATTAGTCGTAGTTCAAACTTTGCAAAGTTTGAACTACGTAGAACAAACGAAGAAGTATTTCAAAAGTATAACTTACCTGATCTTCCCGCCATATCATATCATATCATTTCATATCATTGTGATGTCGGCGTTAGAGAATAGGCTTAATGTGGCCTGTCGCCGAAACTTGTACTTTTCGTGACTTAATTGTTCACAGGAGATCTGAATCCAGGTCTTTTGACCGGATCTTTTCAAGACTGACGATAGTTTGAAATAGCTACTAGACTTCCACCGGGTTCGATATGGTGCTAGGCATTTCAAATCTGAACATATATATTTTTTTCCATGGCTTTATCCAGTCTGTCCTTGAAGCTTGAACGCGTTCACACTCGGAGCGTCAACGATGTAATCGGGGAGGCTAGTTCCACATATCGGTGACTCGTAGCGTCAAGATGTGTTGTCGCGTGAATGAGTTGCATCGCAGTTTTTTTAGTTTATAGCCGTGGCCCCTGGTGTTGGTTCTTGTTTCAAATTCTAGTAATCCTTCTGGGACCTTGTATAAACCATGAGAATACTTATATACTTCAATGAGGTCACCACGCAGACGTCGATAACAGAGGCTTGGAAGCTTCATAATCTTTAATCTTTCTTCATAAGGCTTGCTCTTCAAGCCTGGAATTATCCTGGTTGAACGTCTTAGAAAATTCTCTGCTAAATTTTTGTCCTTTTCAAGTTTCGGTGACCACACGGCGTTTCCCAACTCTGTGTTCGGGCGCACGACAGCGACAAACAACAATTTCATCGCTTCTGCATATGAGAACTCGAAGGAGCGTCTGATCAGTCCAAGAAGTTTATTGGATTTATTAGCTTGCGTTTCAATATGCCTAGAGAATTTAAGCTCCTTGTCGGCATAAACTCCTAAATCTTTTTCCACGCTAGTTTTTGCAATCGTTACTTTCTCATTGCAACCATGTCTTCTCATCCTGTAATCTTGCTGTTCATTATTCTTTCCGAGGTGAAGCGCTTTACACTTTTCAACATTAATAATATGTAATAAAAATATAGCAATTTCAGTGCTTATTAGGCCGAAGGCCTGTCGCCGATTCTTAACATTGCAGAACATTCACAGCATGTTGAGGGCTTGAACTCGCAACTCACTGCTTTAAATTTTCTTTGCTTAACCCTCCGGCCTCTTTGCCGATTCTGACCAGAAATTGGCACATAGAGCCTGGGATCGAACCAGCTTCTCTCTGCTCAAGTCTTGGTACTCAGAACTTAAAGGATGCTCATAAAGCACTTACGCAATAAAACGCAGCTGCCACGTAGCAGCCCAATTAACTAAATTATCAAGATCATCTTGCAATTACACTCTATTTGACGCATCCTTAACTGTACGAATAATAAACTTTTGTGTCATCGGCATCCATGAAGCACACGCTTGACAATACGTCTGGCAGATCGTTTACAAAAGCTGCGAACAAAACAGACCCGAGAATGCTTCCTCGTGTTCTTTTACTCTGAAGAAGCGTTTATGACATTATTTTAGCCATCTCATATGTAATTGAGTGACTTCATGTTAAATGAAAAAAAATATTGGAAAATTTAATACGGAGGTCATGAGAAGACTCCACACTTCCCAATTTCGAACATTCAATTTTTCTATATATATCAATGCCACCGTGCAAGAACCTTGAATACCCTCTTAGCATCAATAAATTTAGGTCATATTAGGCTGAATACTTCATTATTGAACTGAGGATATATATTCACAGGTTATCAATAAGCATGTCTAACTTTGAAAAATTTAACATATAAACAATAATTAGGATAAAAATTGATTTTCAAATTTTTTACTGCCCTGCAGCAACTTTAGAGATTGTTTAATTGAAAAATCTTTCGATGGGAATACATTTAACAGGTATCTTCATACAAAAAAAAAGAAAATGTCAAAGGAAATTATATTCAGCTCCACCTTATTCCAGTATTTTAGGGGATATTCTATGCTCACTGAATTTGGAATCCGGCCGCGAGACCGGCTGCGGGTCCGACCGTAAATTTGTTCGAGACGACCTTATACTGACCGGTCTGTCAACACCCGCTCAAAACTTTATTTGTCTTCTAAAAGAGTGGCATGAACGCCTCTAATTCAATTAAATTATTTCTAATCGTCGTTCTTTTCAATTCAACCATGGTCATTAAATTTGATTCAAATATAATTTATTTCATGATTTAATCCTATGCCATAAGCCAAATAGTTTCTTTTCTATTGCTACTTCAGAAATAAATAANCATGATTTAATCCTATGCCATAAGCCAAATAGTTTATTTTCTATTGCCACTTCAGAAATAAATAATAATTATTAGCCGATTCAACGTTTATAAACCCGAACCTGTCGCCGATTCCTAACATAGAAGAACATTCACATCTTGTTGCGGTTTCGTACAAGCAATTCACTGTTTTAATTCTGCTGTGCTTAACCGCCCGGCCTTCTTGCCGATTCTGACCAGAAACTGTCGCACAGAGCTGGGATCGAACCCGCACCTCTCTGCTCCAATATTGATACTCTCAAATTTAACCACGGGGCCACCCAATAACTTGCTAATATTCAGTTTATTTACGAATTTTCAATTATTTATTTTTCTACCGACCTATCGATATATTCCTTTCCTCTTCGAGAGACTTTCAGCGATATCGAGTTGGACCTAACAAAGGAAGCTGTAATATTCTAAGACAATTCAATTATGTGTGTCATTGCTGTTTGAAAACATCCGTCGGAGAAGGGTCTTATACCGAACTTTCTAACATCCTGAGTTGCGGATCATTCAACGATATCGTTAGTGCAGGACCACTTCGGATCTTTGTTTTCCGGTACGTATTTAGTGAGGCCGTAAAACTGATTCATATTAACAATTTTTTTTATTTTTAATGCTATTTAAACATAGCGTGCAAAAAATATGTTTTATTTTTTGTAGGAAATTCGTTCTGTTAAAATTCTACTATCAATTCACTTTAAAAGGCTTCAATCAATTCACTGTTTAATTGTGAGAAATTGTGAAAGAAATTGGCCGTGACCCATAAAAATGGGTACCTACCTACAATTTACTGCAAGCATGCACGTTTTTGTATCATTCATGAGTTGCATTTGCCTGATTACTGGGAATGGGATGGGTTTAGCCTTTAGGAGAATTAGTTTATAGAAGTATTTGGTTGGTAGACTTGGTACCTAGTAGGTATCAATATCATCGTCCTACCTATGTCACTAGACTAGGCAGTCTAGGCTATGTGCTAATTTTTTTTAATTGATATCAGAATAATATACCTGAAAAGGCAAAAAAATGAATTGGCAAAAATTATTCTATGGTAATTGTTCATTCCATTTAGAACTGGCAGGACTCAGATCTCAGAAGCATACCTATCTTCTACATTTAGACTAAACTAAGTTTAGAGTTTACTAGGCAATGAGTTATGAGTATGAGTATGACTGTATGACCTTAGTTTTACTATTTTTGGAGCTGCAAGTTTCTTGCTAGTTGTTGGATGAATTAATTTTTCAATTTGTAACTTTAAAATATCAATCAAAATTTTTCTAAAGTTGCAGGCTAAAACAAATAGGTTTATTTCATGTTTTTTTCATATAAATGATACTGAAAAAGTAAAAATACAATATGAATTTTCTGTTTCAACATCTAAAAATTTTGAATTTATTGATTGTTTTGGTTCAATTCTGTTCATGAACTAGATCATTTCTATTAATACTACTGAACTGAAATGTCATTGAAATTCAAATTACTTTAGGTTAGTGATGAGATGGATGAGGTCCCAAATGGCAAATTGGCAAGAAAGCTCAAAATTAGGAATGACAAGTAGATATTTTTAGAATAGCAGAACCAATTCTTGTGATTATAATATGCTTTCAAACATAGGAATCTGATCAATAATAATTTTATGCCCAATCATGTTTCAGATTACCACAAGTTCATTTGATGAAGATCAATGTCTGTCCCATGCAATGATCTCTTTCTTTTGGAGTGGAATGACCACTCTAGAACTTTCCTTCAAACTCTACAAGATCTACAAATTGCTGTAAGTCTTTAATTTTCACAGTGGAGATAATCAATTGCCAATTATAATACTAAAATCAACTTAAAATGCTTTAAACTATGGAATTATATTAGTTATAGAAACAATACAATGATTATACTGTGAAAAACTAGTTTATTTAGATTATATATAATTGCTATTAGTTATTCATTCAAATTGTTGCAATAACATACATTTGTAAATTTGTTTGAAAACTGTATCAAGACTCAAAAATGTACCTATCTAGAGAATATTTTATCAAGTTCTTGAAACTACTGGCATTATATTATAAAACTCAGTTTTAACTATATCCAAATTAAATTAATTTAATTAATTTATTTTTTTCTGTTTCCATAGCCTCATCTGACGGATGCACATCTAGCATGTAAAGGCAAACTGCTTCCAGTACATAAATTTGTTCTCTCAACTTGTAGTGAATACTTCAAAGACATTTTCAGTAGCATAAGTGTGGGTGCTGTGGTAGTAGCAATACAAGATGTTGAGGTTGATATTCTTGAGTCTCTCCTTACATTTATGTATGTTGGAAGAGTGAGTGTCAAACAAGAGAAACTTGCACCTCTGATTCGTGCTGCTGAGTGTCTCAGAGTTAAGGGCCTTGCTGGCCGAGAAGAAGCATTAGAATCTCACATCCATGGGGTGAAGCGAAAGTGTGTGGATGATCATCAACTTTTAAGACCAACCCCAAAAAAGCGGGAAAAGAAAAGACGTCGATCAATGAATGATCACTTGCCAGATGATGATAATCAAGTGAAGAAACATTCTAAGATGGTTGACTCTACATCTCCAGGAGCAGTTGTTGATTTTTTGGATGTAAGGAAATTTCAATCCAGAAAATTCCCACATGAATTTGATAATCCTCTTCACAATGTGCTGGATATCATTGGGCATCATCAGGAAAATGCTAATGGTAGTTCAAGCAAAGGATTGGCTCATGTGAGTATTATGTATGAGATGTTTCTTGCAGGAACAAAGCTATGTTTATGTAACTGGCTTTTATATATAAATGGATTTATGATTTAATATGTAATGCTATATTTTTTCAGTGTTTTTATTGTCTTTTTTTTACCAATATTAATTTTTTATGATGCATTTCTAATGCAATATGTTTCACATGCAATATGATGAGTTCATTTTATTATTGCAGAAGTCACTTCCTTTGCACATTGTGAAACAAGAAGATGATGAAGAGAATCTTACCTTTGTTGATGAAACAGATTTTGAAAGCAACACATTTCTTGCTGGATTAATTCAAGACAAGCATCATGGAAAATCGCTTGTTTACAATAAGGAGGCACTAGGTCAAGGGTATCCTGGGCCTGAATTTTTACGAAGCAATTCTCCTGCCGTGGCACTAAATCTCAGCAAGACTGATGCTGCTCATCACGAGCCCAGCCTCAAGGATGCTTCCCATCTTAGGCATGCAGACTCCCCAACAGGCTTTCAAAAACCTTTTGTACCCACTGTGAATGAGGTAAAGAATTACCTAGTAGTTTTATTTTCAATTCTAATGATAATTATCTATAAAAAATTATATTGGTAGATATTTATATATTATATATAGGTATACAATATGTTTAGAATAAAAAAATTTTTATATGTTATATAAGTTACTTCTTATCCATTTGAGTGCTCAAATTGATAAGTATCCATTCTATTTGACTCTTTTTTTTTCTCTGCAGAGCCATTTGTTGGGGACTGAAGTCATTGATGCTCCAAGCAACATCATCTCAGAAGCAATAAGTCCTGATAGCAAGGTAAGACATCAACCAAGTGTGTGGTTTTCTCTGTAATTGTATACTTGATGCAATCGTATACTTGAATACTTATGTGTATAATGTAGTTGAATACTTGTATACTGTCCATATCAAAGGCCCCACAATTTTGGTCACAAATTATGTTATGTCTTGATGTTCTACTGGTAAATTTTTATTTGTTTTGATATATGATCAGAAAGGAAATTGTAAGTACACATTTGGTGATCAACCATGATCTTTTCAGTTTTGGTGCAAATCAGAAGATACCAATTACTTTTTCTCATGGGTAATTTTTCCTCCAAAATGTCCAAAAAATATCTTTTTTGCTACATTGTGTATTTATATATATGTATTGATAATTAATATGGTACCGTATTTAGATTATGATTTTTTTCAACATAAAACAGTATACCAGTTCTGTAATAACTTCATCCTTTCATGAATAAGATATCTGGGCATGCATAATATAGTCATATCACACTTTTTCTAATTCTCAGGAATTTTTATAATTTCATCTCCTATGTGTGCATTATAGAGCTAAATTTTATTTTCGGCAGACATGCATCAATGGGAAAGTGAATTCAGAGGCCCTTCATGATCCTTTCCAAAGTATCGGACATCAAGACAGCATTTCCGGAGACCAGAATTCGATTTCTGGCAATGACTATCCCATAGAACCTCCTGGCAAGCCTGTTCAAAGTAAACTGTGTTCGAATAATACTAGTGGTGAGTATTGCAATTCTCAAATAGCAAATGTCAGTATAACAATTCACACCATTCACATAAGTCCATGAATGGAGGCTTGACACTATTACTTGAGGTGGTATTAAAAAGAAACAATTGGAGTACAAAATATTATATAATTAAAATGAGGTTATGTTATAACACGTGACAAAGCACAAGTAAGTGAGAATCTAAAAATTGTAGTGAAAAGTGAAAAAATCTATAAAAAATGACTTGGCTCAAGATACAGTCATTTTTATCTGACCCTCCCAATATACCTAGAATACAATACCACGTTAATATTGATGATAACTTGATAAGTTAATATTAATGTAGCTCTGTACCTGTAATCTATCTCATTTAGTTGTAATATCCCAATATCATTGGTCACAATGATTTTAGTACTAAAGTAAAAGCTTACCTGCCCCTAGTAGGAAAGTCAGATAAGCAAATTTAAACTAATAATATTATAATTATTATTTACCATTAACCTTTATTTATTCATTATCAGGATCTGAAATATTGGAGCCTGAAATATTGGAGCCTGAAATATTTCATCCGAACATTGTGGAAAAAGAAAAGTCATTGAGCTCTGCCACTGCTCTGCACGATGGCCAGGACCCTGAGGCAAACATCTCATGTGCCGCCCCCTCTCAACCTGTCGACGCTCCTTTTGGTGGCAGTAAGAGCAAAGTTTCTTTGACTGCAAGTGCTGGCGACGTTGGTACTGGTGACGCTACTGCCAGAAATGACGCTGTACCCGTTGCATCTGATACTTCTACAGCCACCACTACAACGGTTGGTTATTCTGCGGTTGGCAATATTGTGGCTACTCCGAGGAGTGTATCTCGAGTCGGTGCTCCAAACTCAGCAGTTGTTGCTCGAAAAAATGATCCAGATCCAGTTCTGCCCGTTATTGTTAAAAGTGAATCATGCGTGCCGCTATATGGGGCAAGTGTAGCTCGCGCTAAAAACAGTGTGGCAAATGCTCCTCGACAACGTGCTTCTAGTGCTGGTGCTTGTCCTCAACAAAGTACATCAAGTGTCAGGTGCATAAGTTCAGACGAAGCTGAAATGTATGACGACCATCGACATATTGATGTGACAAGCGGTGACGTTTCCAACAGTACATCAATGAGCGAAGATGGCGGTATTGCAAGAATTCAGGACGATGGCGATGAAGGATGGCACCAAGACCTCCAAAGAGATGAATTAAACTTGAACGAGAATAACCACAGTCTTGAAATGTTCCCTTGTAAAGTTGATGGAATCAACTGTATCTGCATTGACCGCCTAACAGACGAGCAGGTTAACCAACGCTTCTCAAACGAGTCGTCGCCTGCAGTGGGCTCAAACCTGTTGTATGTGAGCTCTCGCCAGTGTCCCGTCTGCTCTTACCACACCAAAACCCCAGCCAAGTTCTCACGACACGCCTGGCAACACAAGCGGCTACGCACGTTGTGCTGTACGCTGTGCAACTACCGAACCGTCCTGCGCCCCAGCTTTGTGGTGCATCTGCGTCAGCACACAGGCGAGAAGCCTTTTAAGTGCTCCTATTGCGAGTACTCGGCGTCACAGAAAGGAAATCTCTTTGTCCATATGAAAAAACATCAGATGTCCTCATAAGAGTTCTCTCTGCGCGCGGATAAGGCCACAACTGGGCACCGCAATAGCCTCTATCTCGTTGTTGACGTGCGTATGGTGATTTACTTTACAGTGACTTGTTGTAAAGCAGAAAATTAAATATTCCTCAAAACAATTTTTTTAGTGTCAGTTGCTTTTGATGGTAATAATTTTTCTACATCAAAGCAATCAATTCGACATTTTGTTACAAAACTGTTAGCAATCGAACATTGCTCACCTGACGGGTAGAATCATCCTCGCTAACATATTTTTTTTCCTTTGATGAATTGATGAATCAGTCCAACAGTGCTGTCAGATCATGAGATGGAAACAGTGCTGGGTAATTTTTTAAAGCTAATTTACTTTTCTTCATACGTAATATTATTTGTATTACTGAACAAAATATGCTGAAAATATTCGGCTCTGACTCTTAAAACACAGTCTGGTGTTAAAATGTGTCAAATAATTAATTTCGTTGCTGCTTCTTTGATCACATTTAATATCAAATTATTTCACTTCTTTGTCCCGTTTGTGTGATTTTCGTTGCACAAAATTTGACAAACCTTTGTCAGATTTACAAGGTAATAAAGGTTTGTGTTTTTCATATTCAAATCCAGGATCCTAAACAATAAATGATTGGAATGTTGATAGCAAAGCCTTTGGATTCTTCCTTTTTTCTATTTAGTTTTAAGTACACTTCCTGCTCTTTTTTTGTTGTTGCCGCAATCTGTTCAATAATACCATCGCAAGCTGCCAAAAGCCATGAACTGCTTAGCACTTGGTCATATTAGCTTACATGATGGCCCATTTTCTAATATGTGATATAGGGTTATTTACTTATAACATATTGTTGTTACTGCTGTTACGTTCACTTCGTCATATTAGTCATCTAATATCTTAATTTGATGGTTTTCATTTTTTATTCTAATAAGCAGTAAGTAAATCAGAATTATTTTCTATTGTGATTTGATTAGTCATTATTAATTAATGATATTCCAGTTTGACTACGATGTACGAAACCAATTCGTTGAACGAGAATTCTATTCCATGTTGAAGCATTGTATGATTATTTAAGAAGTCTCGTAATTTCGTTTACCTAGAGAAAAACGTAGTTAATTTAAGAATTAGTTTAAGTTATTTAGTTGAATAAATTTTTTGTTATTTTCATAATTTACGTGTAATAAAATCTCACGGTACTCTTGAATCTCATTTTTCGATGTAATCGTGATGGATAATGTCATATTAGTTAATAGTATTCATTCTTAATCTAAAAGCTGTTCTATTTAGTATTATTTTCACCTCGACGGCACACAAAATAAATGTCATTTCTGCCCAAAAATTAATATTCAGAAAGTGTCTAGTTATTTGATGATCTACGAGTAGTTACTTCGAAGAATTGAACTTCGGCTCTAAATTAATGGTTAATGAAGATTTGCAGTCGCTTGATTTTATTTTATTTTTTTTTTATACAAACGGCTCTTCGAAAGCTCCTAGATCTAACGAGTATAGCATTGATTTTTGGTAAAAAGATATGTAGCATTTGTATCATTCATGTTCTTCGGTGCTGTTCAATATAGTCCTAGTGTATTCCAAACCCGTTTTGTGTGGTGGTAATGGAATCGAAATCTGATCTGTGTTGTGGTAATGAATTCCAAAACTGTTCTTTGTAGTACTAATGGATTCCTAAGCTGTTTTATGTAGTACTAATGGATTCCTAAGCTGTTCTATGTAGTGCAATGGAAGCCAACGCTTTCTAAGTTATGCTATTGGACTCTAGAGCTGTTGTACCTACTAGTAATGGATTCCGAAGCGTTCTATGTAGTGCTTATGGATCCAAAAGCTGTTCTATGTAAACTAAATCTGAGTGGCTATAATGGCGTGTTGTGTAATTTGATGCTAAATATTTGCACTAATGGTCTGTTAGTTACATACATCTATTATTCTATTACTGAAAATACTTACTCTGCTTTCATTTTGAATCGATTTAATATATTTTTTATTAATCCGTTATAGTAACTCCATGATAAACGTGAATTTGTTATCCTGTTATTTTTCCTATTATTTTTATTAATGATAAATTGGTGAATTTCTTTCTTCTTTATAATGGTATTTGTGTTGAATCTCTTTCGAATAGGCGTGATTTTTTTCCCGAATTGTTAATGAATTTCAAGGAAATACCCATGCACTTTCCTTTCATCGTCACTGGAAAAATTTTATCTCGTTCTTTCTCTTTGCAAACTATCATCATTGTTAATTATGTTAACATTTCTCAAAATCTCACGGGTACTTCATTTTTCTGTGCCTACTAAATTATGCATAGTGAGAATGAATTAGATTATTTTCAAACACTTCTACATGATTGCTAAGTTCAGAGGAAGAGCTTAGCTAATTTTCTGTAATTTCACCACATATTAGGAACCGTCGTCTCGAAGCTGCTCTGAGACGACGGAAAGTTGTCTGGTGGAAATTTCCTTTGTTTGAATTCGTTGTTTTTTTTTAATGCGAGTGCTGAGATATTCTATTGCCCTATACAAGTTTCTGGATACTTATTGAGCTGTCTCCCTAGTTCTTTGACTAAGGCTGGTCGATATTCGATCAATATTCCGATGATTGAAAAGATCAGTGACGTACAGAAGAAAAATCTCTCTACTTCAACGCGCTTCAACCGTTCTTGCATGACAGATTTCTTCGTGCTTTAAATGATGCGAACGATGTACGTTAAAGTCCAGACTTGATGTTGTGCAGGATGTTGTAACATTTGTTATGTCTGCGTCGAGATTGTGCTCTCCACACTATAATCAGCAGGTAATTCATGTTTTTCACTCAGTGGTTCTATTTTTGTTTTCTTCGTTTTCATGTTTGATAACTTAAGCTATTATACCCGTGTTGTGCCTCTTCCGCTGGGATGTTTTCCCTGCCACATCTGTCAGTCATTCATCCACAACGATCACCTTCTATGATGCTTAGCTCACAAGTTTATGTTGACTAAAACGGACATAAATTTCGTGTTGTTGCTAACACGAAAAGTATTCTAAAAATTACACGATGCTAACAATTCCACAATTAGATTTTTTCTACTCGAATTGCTGGCACCTGGTAATAGAGGCTAAGCTATCTAGTTTACTTTGATCTCATTACTGTAATGTAGACAGTAGCTCTAGATGCCTTGTTTCGAGCATCGCTTTCCTGAAGATATTTGTTCCTACGCTGTTCGACGTCATGTGCATTTCGATGATATTAAAAGGATGTGCTCTTTCAGTCTTTTATTTTAAACTTATACCGCGAGAAAAACACGCATTCTGACAATAAATGTGTCTAATCTCCCAAATAACATGCGCGAGGCGATGCAGGAATACAAGTTGTATATTTTGATGTTATCGACTCATATTGACTTGAACCAGGTTTATCGGAACGAGTTGAAAATAATTAGGTTTTCTCGCATCCGATGAAATTTCTGAGAATCCGACTGACGGAAATGGTATCCTAATAAATGTAATTCAGCTCGACGTGACTACATTTTTCAACGCAACATTTGTTTTTTAGCTACACAGCGGCTGGGCCTTGTAATTTGTGTAATAGTAATTACACAAATTAATAGTAATTATTAAGTACTAGTGCAAATTATTTATTACTAGTGACTAGTAATTATTTTAGTCAGTGCAACGCTAAAATTGCTTTGCTACTACATGCGTAGGAGGGTTAATATAATGGTTAATATAATTATAGTTGTATAGGCATAGGGTTAATATAATAATCTAATACTACTTGTATTAGATTCTTGACGAGGTCGCCCGAGCTGCCGTCGGAAATGCCAGAGTTGAAGGCCGTCAGTGAGACCGACAGCCTTGGCGGTGCCCACACCTTACTAACTCGAGCAAACCTTAAAGAATATCTCGGACAATCCTTTATTTGGTATCGGTATTTGATTAATGATCACTACTCAGGATGCTATACATGAACACCTTTTTAACGGTCAGTACAGTTTTCACGTATTTGGCCCTCAAATGTCGTATCGGAATCGTAAATTTTATTTCTCTGTCGCTATTTAGCACATCCTTAATGGTTGCAAAGAGAAGAAGGGAAGAATTCAGTGGATTTATCCCAATCCAGTGCCTGGGCGAAATCCCAAACGCCAAAGTTGCAGACAGTTAGGTTAGGTTTAGGCCTTTAGGGAAACCTGGATGTGGTCACTAATGTATTGAAGGCTTAAAATGTTGCTTACATGTTTACAAAGCAAACCTTGATTACTGCCTTGCGAATAAGGCTGCTGTGCCTTGCCTTAAGGAGCTCGTGATGAGGCCAATGCGACGTGCTTACGGCCAGCCTCCTGCTGAGGCCACTGTGCAGTGCTTATGGTCAGCCTCCAGATGAGGCTATTGCGCCGTGTTTAAGGCCATCCTCCGGATGAGGCCACTGTGTAGGCCTGTAGGGCATAGGGCCAGCCTTTTGAAGAGGCCACTGTGCCGTGCTTATTGTCAGCCTTCTGATGAGACCACTATCCTGCGCTGATGGCCTCCATGTGAGGCCACTCCTCTAAAGGATGAATGCACCTCATCCCTCAGCCCCGCCTGTCCTCATATGGACTCGCAAGGACGCACCTTCGACAATAAAAAATATTCCATCTGTGAAGGCAACGTCGCGCGTTCCGCTCATGCCTTCGTAAACGCTAACGGCAACTGGACTTGGAAATTTTTATCATAAACTTTTATTTCCGGTGCCGAAACTATTACTGTATGCTAGCAAGCAATAGATTAATTACAATAATATGTAACCCAATATTCAACTCATCAAGTTCGCTTAATAATATACGAGTGGGAACATCTTACCTATGCTGGTAACTACAACTGTATATCCGGCTGCTCTCTGACAAATTTATTGTTGCGGTTTGAGTCTCCAGTTTACAGGTATCCGTGATCAAAACGAGCCCGGCTTCAGTCTGAACCTCGAGTTACCGAGTATTCGTAATCAAAAGAAGCCCCGGCTTCAGTCTGAACCTCGAGTTACCGAGTATTCGTAATAAAAAAAAAGCCCCGGCTTCAGTCTGAACCACGAGTTACCGAGTATTCGTAATCAATGCGACCCCGGCTACAGTCTGAACCTCGAGTTACCGAGTATTCGTAATCAATGCGAGCCCGGCTACAGTCTGAACCTCGAGTTACCGAGTATTCGAAATCATAATTAGCCCGGGCTACAGTCTGAGCCTCACGGCAGGCTCATCATAGAGGATGGTCAGCCCTGAGATTGTTGCTTGAATTCCATGCTACTGAACAGATGGTGATGCTCAAATTTTTTTTTGTGACTTAGACCTTCAGGTAAACGAGCCGTGGATTGTAAATACAAGGACCAAACCTTGCGACAAACAATCCTGTCAAGTCGGTAGCTAAAAAATATATATATTTTTTAATATTATGAATTCCGACGTGTAGTAGTTGATTTTGATTCCAACGTTCAAACTCAAATTTCAGTTTAACACATGTTACATAAATATGCTAATTATAAATTTTTCGCTGCACTCACATTACTATGCTGAGAAGTTTCATATTTAAATAGAAAAATTCATGTCACAATGGGAAATACGAAGTGTTTTCCGGAAATGCCGCACAGCCTTTCTTAAACATTTCTCTGTTAAAGCGAATTAAGCATTGGTTAATTCTTGAGATTAACTCGCAATTCGATACAATATCTTGCAACGCTTTGAATTTTACATAAATACTCATTTATGTTAGCTGGTTTCAATATTTTTTTTTACATTTACCATCAGTAAATTCAGGATCCACACCAAAATGTTAATATTTGGGGGATATCTAAAAAAATATTTGGGGGATTTCACGTTTTGCGTGGCGAACGGGACCGAGAGTGTGCCTAGCAATCACGCAGCATGGTCGCTGGGCAAACCCGATCCTACAGAGACGCTGGACAAAAATACACGATGCTCGAATTTATTCACGTACGCATTTATTCCGGCATCAATGGTACGTAAAATTTGTTGGTAATATTCTTTGCCCTAATTAAAATTATATTGAGGCTATCTTTAGCAATTTATGATAATATAAAATAACCACCTGACGGCCTGGCTTTGCTTGGGATTTATAATCTCAGAGATTGGCGAATACCGTTAACCTGGAAATATGTATTTAATCTTAAATGAATGTGTTGAAGGATTTTGTGTGGGTTTTAAACCTGGTGCTGTAAATACCATTTATGTCGGGATATCACCTGGGTCCGGAATTTTCGTATAATTGTATTTGTATCAGTGATATCAAAATGGCGGAGAAAGGAAGAAAGCATGAAGAATATTTTGAAGTGCTTAAATTTTTTTATGAGGCGTTCATGATAATTTGATACAACATGGCTTTTAGATATCATAGCTGTATCCTATTTAATACAATATAGCTTTATTCACATGTTGTAAAACTATATCATGTTTAATTCACATCATTCAAAACTGAAAAAAAAACTTCAAAATCCCCCTCAAATCCACATTTTACCAAACTAGACAAAATATAGAGACAAAAAATCTAGTCGACATTTATATATTTACGTATTTAGTTTTTTATTTTGCCATAATTTTTGGCCTTGATTACGTGCATACATGCTTGCAACTCGGCCCTGTATTAAACTACATAGATTGATTTCTGATGCCCTTTTAGGTAATTCATTTCACTAGAATATTGATCGCTGCGTGGCTGTTATCAACCTCGAGTCATGCGAGTTCCTCTGAATAATTATGCACGCAGGTACAGTCACGTTGATAAACATTAAACTAATCCTCCTTGGTTTAGCAGTGCCCGATAGCTGTTTTGTAAGCTGGCTCAAAAGGCCACAGTATAATTATCTGTTTTTGATTCGTGTATTCAGTTTGAGTATTCAAGTATAAGTATCTAATCAATAGGTATTTCTAAACAGAATACATAAATCTTCGTTGTTTATGATTTGTTTTATATGTTGACTGTACTGAACTAGTTTTTTCTGGGCACGGATCACCGCTGGCAGCCGTTATGCTTGAACTCTGACATCGTCCGTGATTGGACCAATCAAAACTCGCGTATTATTACGCGTCAATAGAGCCCTTCCCCCCTTCCTGTTCTTGTAAAAACAAGGCGTGGACCGTTATTTGATTAATCCCTTGTACACGAGGCCAGTTGTGGCGACCACTATATCTGGCCAGTAGTAACCGCCACTAATCAACGGGCTGGTCGCCTCAGATAGAGGAGGAGTTGCTTCGAAGGCCACTATAGAGAGTGGCGGCCAATTGCTGGTCGCGTTTGAACAAGATCAAGTTCGCATTTGTTTTTAAGTTATGCTAATAAAATCATTATAATTCATTGAATATAATTAATCTCATAATATGTGTCATTCACGTCACTCGCAATTATGATGGAACCTTGAGACATTTGTGACTGAAATAAATTTTTCGTACATTTTATCGTATTCAGAACGTTACTGCGCACCGAGTTTCGAACTTTTACATTTATTAATTCACATTACTATGAGCTATAGTACGACTTGATTTTAGCTAGAGTTGTAAGCCACTAATGATTGAATTAATGTGCCAAATTAATATTTTCCATTTATCACATTTTATGGAGTTTAAGTTGCAAACTTTGTAAACTGTTTGCATATCATGAAGTATCACTTTGCATATCATGAAGTACATCCTATTATTACGATCAAAAGTAAATTTTTCGTCAACTTCCCAAAAATTACTATTTTAATCATAACGAACCTCATTGTTTTCATATTCATTAGTATATCAAATTGATTCTCAACGAAAAGCACGAATTCTATAATGAAAGGTTAATATTTTTTCGAACCAATCAGGTTCACACTCACAGTTAAGAATGACTAAAAACGTAAATTTTAGTCATAAATCACCGTCAACTCATTACTCTCGCTATAATTGGTAGTGTGCAGGCAGGGTTCACCACTACTTACCTTGCACTTGACCTTAAGACTCGACTCTCAGACATATTATTTAACTCGGTAATTCGTACCATTAATCTTAAAGGTCGTCTTCTGGACCGACCCTTGATCTTTTGCATCCCCGTTCGAAAGTTTGGAGCAGATATGGCGAGTTGTGGTGCTGACATTTCTATTTATGGGAATACGTTGAGAAGCTTTTAATTTTTTGTACTGTTTCCGGCGCAGTTATGCAAAATATTTGTTTGTGTTTTTTTGTGTACACACAAGAGAAGATGCACCCTTAACTGTAATCAAAGATGGCCGCCTGAGTGAAAAATTTTTCCGACGCAGA